CCCACCCCCCTTTCCAAAAAAAACTAGAATTATTAAAACTCATTAAGAGCATCGATTTAATTATTTCTATTGAAAAATTCAGTGAGGCTTAAAATTTTAAGCGTTTAAATTTTGATTCTGTGCGAATAATGTGTAAGTCTCTTTTTGTTATATGAAAACTCTAAGGTTTTTATGATTCTAGATGACATCTCTATCAATGAAACACAAAAAAATTTATTCTTTTATTTTAATATATTTTTATCAATATTTATTTCTTATTCTTATTAATTAGATTATTTTTATACATCATTTTCATTTCATTATCAACGGGTAACTATAAACTTCTAATGAATAATATGTAGTGCTCTAAACATTTCTAAAAAGACAGAAATGGAACACGTTCATGTTTATTCAAAATTTTATGATAAATTAATATAAATAAATGTCTTATATTTTTAAACACAATATATTAACCATGTTGAAAAATCATATTTTTTTATTTTGATAATATAAATATAAATACAATATAATATAATATTGTGAATAAAAAGATATTTATATTTATAAAAAAATTTTTTATTAATTTTTAATAACAATTGTTTTTCAAAATTTTTATCTGATAGACAGAAACGCTTGGCAGTTAATAGCATTAACTATACTTCTCTTTTTTTCTTTACAATGTAATATATATTTTTATTAAAAAGTTTCAAAAGTTTCATATTTATAATTTGAATAAAATTCAATAAAAGGTCAAGTTATATAAAAATATAAAAATCTTTATTTTTTTTTAAAAAAAAGTAATAAAATACTGTAATGTAATATTTAAAAAAAAAGAGAAAGAACAAGTGGAGGTGCATCTAGGTTATAGCAACATGGATTGATATACTATGCGACCTACAAATTTCCATTGAGATACGTTGGCATAGGTAAAAACCTTCTTGAGGTTCCCCCGAAATTAAACGCATCTTTTGGCCGAATGCCTTGATAAATTCCAATGCTCTAGGTCCAATAGTATCGATTGTGTCAGAAACAATCGGGATTAAAGTAATATTGGGAATAAAAACGGGCTCTACAGTGGCAGATGAGGGGATTGCGGTATTATACTTGCAGTGAAATGAGTTTAATTTTTAATACAAGTATATTTTTGATATTTTTACAAACTACTATTATTTTAAGATATAACATACAAACAGGTGGTGCGACAATAATATATAAAATCTTAATTGCTTTGATCATATCACTCTGGTTCTTATTTTATAGTTACATTATTTCTAATATGGCATCCCTACCGTGTAAATAACTTAAGGCTTCAATATATTTGCATAATATCTTCTCTAGATTTTTAATGTTTTTATCAATTATCTAACATAATAAATTCTGATAAGAGTTAACATCGTTAGTGTCATGGCTATGACTGCAAATTAACCAGCATCTATCATTTGAGTGGCTATGTAATTTAAGATTATTACTACAGCTGCTGAGAGCATATTATATTTTATAAGCAATATTGGTCAACTGTGTATTTATATATCATTAAAAATGAAAGATAATCTTTTATAAATTTAATATCTCACAATAATTTTCTCGATTAATTATCTAGATTCCATCATCTTATCTAAGAGAAAGCTCTAACTACCATATAGTTTTATGATTTGGATTGGCCGTTTATATTCACTTCTTCAAGAATTGTTGATTTGGTTAGGCCTATAAATTTTTTTTTATTAGTCCATTCTATAAAACATTGTTTAGAATATTAACAGAGAATTATATTAGTTTGACGACCTTTTGTCAATGTAAGTTGATAAGAATTATATTATATTATGGGGTTTTTAAAAACCATTATCAATTGAGGCATATGTATGAATTAATTAACCTTTTTTACCACTTGTAATTTCTTAGACGCGAAATTTTTTTATATCAGCAATCAAAAATATTTTGTACTCTAATAAATAGATTTTGTATTAAAAAATATTATTGTTAGAAATATCTTGTATTGTTTTATTAATTTATGCTAGTTTATTTTGTATGCATTATATAATAAATGACAAAATATGAAATTCAGAATAATTGTTCAGAGTTCGCAAATTTTAAAAAAGTATAATATTTTAATATAGAACCCGACCGAAGGCCGAAAAAATTTTTTTTTAGTTGAGTCCCCTGAGATTGTAAAGGCTAGCGACGTCCCTGTAATTTAGAATTATTACTCTTGCTGCTGAAAGCATATGATTGCATAATTTAAATGCGCAATAACTGTCTAGTCGTTTATATATCATGAAAAATTGATATAATATTTAGAAATTTAATATCTCATAATAATTTTTTCGATTACTTAAGCTTCCATCATGTCATCTAAAAGGAAGCTCTAACCATCATATTGTTTTATGATTAGGATTGGTTGTTCAAGAATTGTTGATTTGGTTAGACTTATAAATTTTTCCTTATAGTCCATTCTATAAAACATTCTCTAAAACGGTAACAGAGAGTTATATTAGTTTTATGACCTTTTGTCTGTGTAAGTTGTTAAGAATTATATTATATTATGTGGTTCTTTAAAACCATTGTCAATTGAGGCATATGAATGAATTAATAAACCATTTTTATAATTGTAATTCTTGACGCAAATTTTTTTATATCATCCATTGAAAATAATTATACTGTAATAAATAGATTTTGTATTAAAAAAAATTAGAATTGTATTGTATTGTTTTAATTATATATATGCTTATAAAACACGGCCGAAAGAAAAAAAGCCCGCTACATAAAAAATTTTTAGTTGAGCAACCTGAGATTCTAAAGGCTAGCGACGCCCTGACTAATATAAATTAATATAAAATATATTATAAAAAAACAATTAGAAATAATAATATTATTGATCCTTTAAAGAACTTTTTTTAAATCTAAAAATACTCAAATAAATATTTTTGATGATTTTTTTATATAAAAAATACGTATATATTAATTTAATACTGAATTGCCCTTAAGTGCTAGTGATGAAAGATTATTTTGTGATAGCCAATACTTTCCGATTGTCTCTCTAGATTTGGATATGACAGTATGAAAATGTTATTATTATTGAGATGCAATAAAAATAAAATTATATAATTTGAAATTTTAGTCATATTTTTTATTTGTGGAAATAGAGATATTTAAAAAATATTTTAAAAAAATTCCAAAGTAACGTAAAGAGTAGCATTAGATACTTCCGAGCTACTTCTTTTGAAAACATTAGCTGTAGCGATAGTGGTTTACTTTTTTTTGTAACAGAGAGTTTGTTGGAACTGCTAAAGCCCAACAAATAAATTAAGGCAAACGCACATAGGCGTAGCTAGGGGGGGGGGGGTAAGGGGAAATTTTCCCCCCTTCAAAAATTCAGCACCTTTTGTAAATATCATTTTTAGCTAATAAAAAATATCCCCCTTAGTTCTCCTTCCACTCCCTGACCCTCAAATATGTATGCATATATCTTAATTAATAATTTAAAAGAAAGAATGTAAAAGTTGATATTTTTTTATAAAACTATTCATCATAATTTATAGATTTTTGGAAAAATAAATTTTAAATATATAAAATGAACCAAAAATGTTTTTTAATAAATGGAATATAAGCCAAAAATAAGTCTTAAGACAGAAGTGAAATGTATTATAATTATTAATAATAAATCCATAAAGTTACTAAATAATATAAATCAAATATAATTTTTTATAAAGTATGTAATTTTAATTTATTTATCTTAATAAAAGTAAAATATAATTATAAAACTATTGATAAAATTAAATCATAAATTAAAAAAAATATTAAAGCACAATATAAACAGTGGAATATTATATGTCGTAGATTTACAGTATATCTAGTGTTGTTAAACGGCTCGTTTTGAGCCGATTTTTAAAAACGGCTAACTCGATATTTCATCTAGAATATTATTAGGCAAGTCTGAAGATTTTGTTTGTAGAAGGAACAAAGGTTTGGATATCTATTAGAGAAATCTATAGGCTTAGGCCATATTTTTCTGGCTAAAATATTGAGTTAGTCGTTTTTAAAAATCGGCTCAAAACGAGCCATTTAACAACACTAAGTATATCTAATTATCAAATGACAATCAAGTAATTTTTACTAATATAGTAAATTATAAATTTTACAGAAAACTATAAAATATTGATAAGGACATCAGAAAATATCTTTTAAAGACATTATGAGATGAATAATATGAATAAATTTAAATATCATTTTTACTTAAAATAAATAGATGGCGTTAAATAATTGTATGCAAATTGTTGCTATATTTAATATCGAGCATTGATTAGTAAAATTTGTTATTTTATTAACTGTAATATATTCCCTAACTGTCAAATATGTCTGTAAAAGTGGAAATTTACCTAGTATTTTATAATTAATTCTATATAATAGAGTAAAATCAACTATATGTTTACTTACTTTTTATAAATAAATTTATTATTTTGGAATAAATTATTACCATGCTTTTATATTAAGCTATATACAATACAAGTAATTTATTATATTTTTATTTTGTATAAACTAATAAAAATATATTTCATATTTGTTCCAGGCTTATTTTTATTTGTAAAAATATTTTATGACTAATGTTTTTTATTAGATATGACTACACTTATTCCCGAGGGTGATATATCTGAGGCTAATATAGAGGGCTCAGACGAAGAAGACAATTATTATTCTTTGCTGGCAGATGATTTGCCGACTTCATCTTATATAACAAATCAACTAGGCCTTGATGTGGAGGATATAATAGAAGATACTTCTATAATTAAAATAAAAGATAACCCCATGTGGTCTAAGAAAGACATAGGAAATATGAATACATAATATATCCCTATATTAGAAATTCCTGAAGAGGATTCAACTCCACTACCATATTTTCGTAAATTTTTTGACAATCAGATAATCAGTAATTTTGTATCGGAAACAAATATTTATTCATTCCAATGTTCCGATGTGATGAAATTGAAAAATTTATTGGGATACATTTATATACTAGTATAGTTAAGATGCCTTCTATACGACAATATTGGTCTGTTGAAACATCTATTCCACAAATAGCGGAAACTATGTCCCGCAACCGTTTCCTTTTGATCCGGAAATTTTTCCATGTCAATAATAACAAGGATATGGTAGCTAGGGAAGACAAAGGATACAACAAATTATTCAAAATTCAACCCTTCATATTCCAATTAAAACAAAATTTCAAAAAAATTAAACTTGAAGAGAAGCTAGCCATCGATGAATTCATAATTCCCTTCAAGGGACGATCAATATTACGACAATATATCAAATCGAAGCCCCATAAATGGGGGATAAAAGTGTTTGCTTTATGTGGCTCTTCCGGGTACATGTATGATTTTGAAATATACCAGGGAAAGTCAACAAACATCATAAAATCATGTTTGGGTATCAGTGGGGATATCGTTCTTCGGATATCGGAAATTATACCTCCAAACATAAACCACAAATTATATATGGATAATTTTTTCTCCTCATATCAATTATATTTGATGCTTAAAAAAAGGGATATTATGGTATCTGGAACGATAAGATCAAATCTCTTATCAGGGTGCACACTTAAAAATGATAAGGCTTTAAAAAAAGAAGGAAGAGGTGCCATAGATTACAAAAGCGAAAAGAATGGTATTATTATCTGCAAGTGGCAGGACAACAAAGCCGTTACTACTATATCTAACTTTATAGGTGTTTTACCTACAACCAAAGTTAAGCGATGGTCTGTTTCGGATAAAGTCTTTATAAATGTAGAAATGCCCGCAATAATTAAAAACTATAATGAGGGTATGGGTGGAGTAGATCTTAACGATATGCTGGTGGAGTTATATCGGACAGATATTGAATGGAAACGATATTATATGCGAATGGTTTTCCATTTATTGAATTCTTGTGTGGTAAATGTCTGGCTCCTATATAGACGCCATATGAAAGCGTTAAATAATATAAAATTTATGCCTTTACTGGTATTTAAATCGCAGATAGCAAAAGGGTTGATGCTTGCAGGAAAGGATAATACAAAGAAAACCGGCAGACCTTCCAGCATAGATGTTAAAAGAAGAAAAGCTATCAACATTGCCCCTATATCGGATATAAGATATGACCAAGTAGGTCATTTCCTAATGCCCGTAAGTATTAAGCAAAGGTGCAAGTATTGCGTAGAAGCCTATTCAAGAATTATTTGCAAAAAATGTAATATCTATTTATGTTTAAATAATAAACGAAATTGCTATTTGTCATTTCATATGAAATAAAATATTTTTTAAATGAACTTGCATTTTGCCCATTGATAACAATTGGAATCATTGAATATCTTTTGATAGAAATACTCGAAATAAGTTTTTTTGATAAAAATGTGTTATTTGTGTCTATATAAAATAACTCTTAAAAAAAAATTTTTTTTCATCGAGGGGAAAAAAGTCGGGCGCGAAAGGGTTAATATTCATCGTATATATTATTTTTCAGACAATACTACAAAATTATTCTCTAATGAATCTCAATACTTTTAGCACAATTTGAATCCTACTAACTTGTGCTTTTTTGTAACTTATATATAAAATTCTTTCTTTTGTATATATTCAAAAAGAGTGTTGTTTAGCAATTTAGCCATCAAAGAAACTATAAGATCATACACATTGAATACAGCTGATCGTATAAATGGAATTGGAGAAAGTATGAATTTATTATTTTCGGATTATTAAATAATAATAAAAAAAAATAAAGAAAATTAGGACTATTAACAGTCTAAAAGATATGCTAAATAAATGTGACAATGAAACCCTTAGTATGGCTAACATATTAAATACATTTGATATAAAATTGGAGAAACTTGAGAAAGCTGTCTCACCTATATATAAAGAATCTGGAAATTTACAAACAAGATTGAAAAGTATAGCTATTACACTTATGGTTATTAAATATTTTATATTATTAGATGCTGAAAACTTGATGCAAAGTCTTGATCATGTTTTAGGGTATTATAATACATTTAAAGAATCTGAACAAATAATAAATCAAACGTAATATTCAAAATTCAACAATAAACTATTGCATTTCTAAATACCAAAAACAGTTAAATATATATTTTTTTCAAGAAATCTTGATGAAAATGTTGAGGAATATTTAAGCCAGATGGATAAGATTGTTGTTGCCAAAGATTTTTTTGCTGAGAATCTCCTATCAAGCAATGAATTATCCAAAATTGTAATATTAATAATTATAATTTATGAAGTAGAAATAAAATAAATTATTTATATATATTTATTTAATCTACTCATTATTTGAATTTGATTACTTAAATATCTCATTTTTATCTCTATAATGAACTTTATTTTTGAATCTCGACAAGATCAGGGTTTTTTAAAATTTGTTTAAATGTCATTCAGTGCATTAATGCTCCTATTTGAATTTCAATTTTATAATAATCATTCATATACTCTAAAATATTATGTAAGTGTTTTTCATTTTTATCTGTCCCAGTTAGGAAGGATTAGATAGTTGGATTGAATACTTATAAGTGAATCATATTTTTGAATATGATAATGCATTTAACCAAATTCCAAATAATGACTACTAATCAAATATATTTTTTTTTAAATTTTACTTTATGAAATTTATTTCATTTTTTCACCATCATAAACCATTTACATTTCTAACTTAAAAGAATAATTATTAGGTGTAACTTTTAATTTAAAAGACTAAAACAACAAATGAAATAATCTTTATGGACATTCCATAATAACCAGGTTCTGAACCTGACTTTCTTAAACACTCAGACCCAATGATCAAAAATAAAGGCTTTAACAACATATACGAAATTTCCCCTAAATTTTATACAATCAAGTATTACCAATTTTATAGTTTGATTTATAATTGTCCACCCTCGTAATTTTAATAGGATATAATAATAATAAAAATAAAAACCTTCCCTGACCCTAATACAAGTTAGAAAAAAAATATGTAAAATGATTATCAGAGTTGCTCCTTTTTAAAAGTAGCTAGCTCCCGCTCCCTCCTACTTTCTCAAAAGGAGCTAGCTCCCGCTCCCACTGCTACATTTTTAAAAGGAGCTAGCTCCCACTCCAAGTAATGGAGTGCCACTCCATAACCGCTCCTTTGATTTTCATTTTGAAGGTATACAAAACAAAATATATATTTTTTTTATCAAAAAGCTTTATTTATATTAAATGATCTATCAAAATATTTATAACCTTTTATTAGCTTTTAAAAGTAATAAATTTTCTAAATTAGAATCTAACAAACATCCATGCCTCTTTCCTAAGACCTGTTTTGCAATACTAAATAGGCACTCCAGAGGAGCACTAGAGGGAATCAGGGTATTGTATTTTATAAAGATATTTTTTAATTCAGGGAATTTATCAAAAATAGCAATTTTGGTATTATTATTTAAAAAATATTTGTCCAATATATTATTTTCCTGATGATCAATTTCATGGAATCCAAAAAAATCTTCCAAATTAATTTGTATTTAAAAGAAAGATTTTTTACTTTTAGAAGCTTTTTTAGATTGAAGCTGCTCACTTTTGGAAATTAAATAGTTTTATTTAAACACAAAAGACATTTTGCCCTTAAATTTGTTTGATCATTTGGATCAACATCTTTTAGAAGTTTAAAATATTTTTTGTATGATGGAAATGGAAATTCGATCATCTATGATCTCTAAATCCATCTGATTCCTACTGATTTTTTATGAAGTAAAAAAAACAAAAAATAGCAAACCTTAGAACTAATCAATGGAGGGAGGGCTTTGGACACCATGTTGATCTCTAGAAGATCATGCCATGCATCCTAATTTTTTCAAACCTCAAAAATTCCCCAAGCCTGAACCAATTTTTTTTTATTAGTCTCGTATAGTTTTTACATTGAACATAGTCGAGTATTATCGCCCTGTTTCTTGCAAAAATTTAAAAAAAATATATATCAATTTTATTTTAAAAAATTTAAACACCATCCCAGCCCGAATTTTTTTTTTTCGAAAATATTATACCTTACTCAGCCCGAACAGATGTTTTAAAAAAAGGCTCGGGTCGCGCGACGCCCATTAGAGCCGAGCCGGAAACTATCCTGGCCTACTTTTAGCGGGCCTCTGGATCTTAAACCGCGTAACTAGATAATATAAGACAAACTATCAATATTCGCCACAGAATGAACTCTATAATCAAGGATGCAACAATTTGGAGAAGGAGTTCAAATACGTATTAACCCAAAACAGCAGGCCCATTCCGCCCCACATCATAAATGACTTGGTGAATAACGAGGAAGGTATAACAAACAAATAATTATGAATTAGAAATAACATTCCTTAAAAAAAAGTTATTTGTAGGAGTTTTCGATCGATTACCCGATCCACCTATAATTTAGTACTTCAAAAAAAAGATTGTATAAAATTGTAAAGAGGATTCAATTAGAACTCTTAAGAGGGAGCATTTATTGCCCAATCGAACTAACATTTATAAATTGATCATAAGTTTTTTTTGCGGGATATTAAAAATTATCCCCGCAAAATTAGGAATATCACTATTTTTAAATCATCCAATGAAAAACGATTACGATTTAAAATCGAGAATTCGAATTTTCGCGAATTTCGGAGAAACCTTTTTTTACAATATTAATACACGTGTCATATTGGGATACGGAATTCTTCGGGATTCTGAAAATCTCTCAATTTTTTAACAAAATTATCCACTGAGTGTGCGATTTAAAAATTTTTGTTTAGAAACCCGATTTTACTGAGAGAATGTATTTTTTTAGCATGTGTAGAATAACCTATCCTAATGATCTCCAAGGCCCGGTCCAACCTTCCACATTCTCGGGGTCCGAAGGTACTTCTGTCTTAGTTTCGGGTTATGACAACATTTTTAGATTTTGTGCCGGGCCTGAATAAGATCTCTAACTCTTATCCTATAAAATTTTAAACAGCTTTCGCCATAAATATTTGAATATATATAGATATATAACCAATAATATTAATAACAATAACAAAAAACAGAATTGGAACTACAAGTTCCCCGCCAAAAAAAAACATGAATAATTATATTTTTAAAAATGGTAATTTGAATATTTTTTTATTTTTTAAAGAGAATCATAATTCCTTGGGTTCTGATGTAAGGGCTCTTATTTTATCCTCCCATATTTTAGTTCCGTTTGACGCATGTTCAAGGGAAGAGATAACGACATAATTTGTATTAATATATTTTTTTTCTCGGCTATATTAACCGGGGTTCGAATTTACATTTTTTATTCCCTGAAATTCATAAGGTATTGTTCACTCCCCCCCCCCTCTTTCATGCCTAAATGTATTTCCGGTCGAATGAGATTTTTTCGAAAATTGAAAAACAGATGATTTAAAAATCGAGAAATTCCGTATCCAAAATACGAACACCGTACATTGGCAAAATTAATCTATATCTAAAACCTATATTTACTTATATACAATATTTATCGATTATTTTTTTTTTAAGATTTGACTCCCGAAAATGTCCAAACTATAACAAATTTCCCGGGTATATTTATTTTAAATAAATTTCTTGGATTTTTTTTTTAATCATCTTAATCTAGATTATTATTTTATATATTTTCAAAATAAGAATATGTTATATATGTAATGTAATGTAAAAAGTCAATGTTTGTCAAGACCTCTACAAATTATCCAGTTGGTTAAGCAAGGGCTCGGAATCACCTAATTTTATGGGAACCTACTCCAACGTAAGGGGCGACAATTTGGCACAATCTTTGAGGGGGTATATTTAGTTAATTAAATGTAAACATTGTGTCCGCTTTTCTTTTTTTTTTAAAAAAAGGTTGAGGGATCACGTTAAATCTCAAAGCGGAAGCGGATCTTCGCTCTCGACTCCCTCTAGCTTCGTGAGAATTAATTTTTTTTTAATTTTTTTTTTTATAAAACCTTAGAAATATTTTTTTAACGTTGGGACATGAAAAATATATGAAGTTTGTGGTCAGATTCCTCCACCCTCTTTTCAAAATTTATGGGAACCGGAAATAGAAAACCCTTTGAAAAATATTTGGAACCAGAATCCATTTTTTTTTGGTTCGGCATATATAGCTCAATTCTCTTCTGATTTGAGTGCTTAGGGATAGGGGTGGGGCAAGAAATTATTTAATGTTCGGGCTACAACATCCTGCATGCTCATAGGATTTCAAAAATCTCGATATTTATACAAATTTTATTGGAAGCAATTATTTTTAATATCCAAAACAGCTGAGTAGCAGTTACAAGCTCTCCAACTACACTAATAACTCCTCCGAGAGTTTCGTTAATTTCAAAAATTTCAGGAGAAAATTTTTCCGCAATTCGTCGGCTTCCTTCAAATCGAGTAATTTGCCTCCCTCCCTTAATAACAACGCGAACCCTAATGCGAACACATCGTCCGGTATGTATTTTATATCAAAGTTATAGATTTTTTTTTTGATGGGGAGCGAAGAAAGATAAGAGTTACACCCATGACACGAAATATTATTAAAAACTGGCCTCTCGTTTTGGTCCTCTAATGCCGTTATGGCAATAAAATCAGCTGATGGCCCGAATAATGTTTTATTTCTTTCCTATTCCTCCATTTATTTTCCTGATTGAAAAAATAAATTTTAGAAAAAATAAGAAAGGTTTCTAGATTTATTCCCTGTAAGATTCTTTTTTTTTACATTTGATCCACAACTGTGCCTGGTCAAGATTAAAGGAGGATTTTTGCAGGCCTCTGATTCGGAGTCAGCTGTTTTACTCCATTTTTTTTCTTTTTGTAAAACAAAAATTATAATAGATAATACGCTTATATTTATCCAGAGACCTCAGAGGTCGAAACTTTGGATCCGATTCGGATTTGAAGCCCAGATATATTTTATTTTTTTAATTTTTAAACCCGACTCAGCCCGGATTATTTGTTTGGCATGGGAGCTCTCCGATATAATATAAAAGTTACGAGCAAAGCAGCTGACTTCAAACATTAAAATTTCATATTATTTAACCATTTCAAGGGTTCGTAAATTTAGTTATTTTTTTAAAAATATTTCATGTCATTCGCGATATAATCGCTGAATTTAAAAATTATTTTTTATGCGACGTTTTTTAGATAAAGATATCGATATCGAGATATACTTGACAGCATTTCACGCCTTACTAAAACTCATGCAGGTTTTAATAACTTTCTATTACTCCTTTTTTTAAAAAAGTAAAATATAAACAACATATGTTAACGACGTGTAAGTGACGGAGTGCCCTCACATGTCTTTTACTGATCACGTGACTTATATTTACTGTAAATTGGGATAGTAGGATTTTGTTCTTAAGTATGTTATAGGTCTTATTTTACCTAGCTTGACCGCGCGTTTTGTTTATTCAAATCTTACTCATTGCTATAGTTGGGTAATGTCTAAATGTCGACTAATTCGGCTCAAGTGCCGGATAAAATCCGTTAACATTATGGCGTTTTTATTTTATTAGCTACCTTCAAATTTCAGCTGCTATCTTTTAAAAAAAACCCTCCAAAGCCAAAATGATAGCTTTCCGCTAAAAATTTGGTTTTAGCCGTTTTTTAGCCGGCTAAAAATATAGTAATTACCTAACTATACTCATTACCCCCCACCCATTTCGTTTGTGTAACCCTAAACCTACTTCTTTCTTTTTTAGCTCGAAGAAAAACTCATGGGTTTATGCCTCCCCGAAACTTTGTTCTGGCAAATATTCGGAGCATTGGTTCAAGCCCCGCTGGAGTCTATGCTCAGCGAAGGTGACGTCATCGTTAACGCCGTTCTAACCGCCATAAAAGCCAAGGACTTTTCACCCGTGGCCATTTGCATATTCCCGATTTTCAAATACCTATTGGGGCTTAAGCCTCAACTAGATTCCGTTTTTATAGTAAATTTTTTTTCTTATATTATATGCTTCATTTTTTAAAAAAAGAAAGAAAGGAAAGAAGTTTTTTATATAAAACGAAGAAAAAAGAAAGAAAACAATATGGAAAGAGAAGGAAGAAGTTTTTTTTTATATAAAGCGAAGCATTTTTTGTTTAAATTTCCATTCGCGCTAGTATTGCAAACAGGTCACGAAACAAAAATTCGAGAGCTTGATGGATCACATGACCGAGGTCAGCTTCGAACTCCTGGAAAACTACCTGGAAACCATCAGAAGCAACAACGCCTCGGGGCTGTGCCTCTCTGGCTCGTCAAATATTAACGAATTTGAGGGCTACACGAGCTTGAACTCGTCCAGCACCAACTATTACGCTAACCTACCTAAAGATGGAATAGTCCACGAGATAACTAGCAATGTAGCGATTAAGATTATTCCTTTAAAAATTTTTTTTTTGCTAAGTGGAGTAGCGATCGAACCATTTTACTGTTTATTTGGCGGAGTCAATTGGGCATCGTTACAATTTGACTGATTCAATTATATTAAAAATAAGTGGGTGGCTCAGTCTCTCCCCACACTTGCCATTTTTTTTACGTAAAAGGTAACATGACATAAATTGATTAATGATGGCATCCAATGACATATAATAATACCTAGACTAACAATGCTTTCATTAAAAGTGTACATCAATGAAAACAACCGGAACTCCATTTTGATTACCCATATCATTATTAAAATTTTTAAACGAGAGGCCAATTTATTCCTATGTCTGACGCAAACTTTATTAAAGAATTGCCTGATCATCAAGATAATAAGGAAGCAAGTTATCAATTTAATAGTAGTTTTTAATATGAGAATAAAATAAGTACTATATGGGTTACCAAAATGGCGGGTCCAGCTGATTTGCATTCAACCACGTTTTCAAATTCATTATTATGAATGTATTGACAGTCTAGTTATTATATAACATTGAATGGTATCATGATTATATTCCTGAATCAGCTGAGGATTCTCTACGATTCAACGAATTCAAATTGTCATCCATTTTAAAAAACAGTGCCAACGTATAGTAAAAGTTTAAAAAAAGTTCAGGCTTAAGGTAACTAAAAATACATCCATACGTTTTTTAAACATATGTGAATGACCCATTTTATCGTCATTTTAAATTTGCATAGTATAATTTTTCTTAATAGGTTTAAGAAGAGAAGGTCAAAAATCCCTCGACAAATATCTAAAAATTAAATCCGTTTAGACATGATACCAGAAAATCAAGGAAAAAAATCTTCTAAAACGAAATTAGAGTTTAATTTAGTTTTTACCATAGTAAAAAAAAATGAAATGATCAAAGCTCATTTAAAATAGTGAGCACAAATTGAATGCTTCAAATGCGGCGTTGCAAACGCCAATAATGCATTTCAAATGGCCTCGCGCAAATTGGTAAAATTACCGTTATCGCGTTAGCAACCATTTAAAAAAAACACAAATAGGTTTTGCATTTTCATTGTTTGTTTTAAATTCTTCGCTTTGTAATATTATATAATAAAATGTAATATAAAATATCTTACTTATAATCTTAAAAAAAAAAGAATATTTAAAAATTAAAGAAATAAAAAGGCAGACGTATTTTTCAAAAACAAATCCTTTTTTTAGAACTTATTTAAAATTTTGAATCGACGGATATTAATAAAAAAGGCAACCTCTATTTAAACAAGGGATGCGTTACGTTTTTTTTGATTAAAAAATTAGTGCAAAACGTAAACGCCCAATTTGTGAACACTATATAGTTGCGATTTATCGTTCTTTCCCGCGTTTCGCGTTTAGCTTTTTTTTGTCGGGTGCATATTTATCATATTTTATGTGCCTTTTTTTATCATGTAAAATTTCCTGCCAATTTTATTATTTATCAAAAATTTGTTAATTTTTTTTAGTATAAATAAAAAACTAAAGAATGAAGGTGGCAGCAGATAATTTGATTTAAATCCCTTTTACTTCTGATAATAAATATGTCTTAAAAATGATTTCTATAATTTAATTTGATTTAAAACTATTTTTTTTTATGAACATATCTTATTAATTTCTCCTATGAGGGTGGAATACAATATCATATGCTATTGTTTAGGTCTATAAAGAATATTGATATAAAAAAACTAAAAATATTCAAACAAGGGGTTAAAACAAAAATCTGAAAAATATTCCAAATAAATAAAATTATATATTATGTGCCATCGTTACTGGGTTTTCCGATCAAAAGAAAAGGAAAAGTGCCATTTTAAAAAGTGTCAATCTAAAAAATAAAAAGTCCGATCCAAAAAAGGAGGACCCGAGTCCAATTGTCACAAAATTTTTCTACGAATTGTTTACATAAGTATAAAAGAAATAATGTGTATATATATATATATAATATTTAAATTCACCGATAAAGACTTGCCTATTCCTGGAAAACATATCGGAGTTCATGGATATCATCGGCAACATTCTCATCAAAAAAGGTTTATTCATGTTTTTAAATAAGATATTTGATGCTTCACTTCGAAACCCGGGATAATTATACTTTTTGAAAGAATAAAGAAAAGAAAGAAAGAAAGAAGGAAAGAAAAGAAAGAAAGAAAGAAGGAAAGGAAAGAAAAGAAAAGAAAAAAAGGAGAAAGAATTGTAATAATATTTATTTATTCTTAATAAATCTCTACCAACTGGTGAGATGTAGGTAACCTTGACACGATTCATAAACTTTAAAAAAAGGGTTCTCAGATGAATGGCTTTATTTTCTCTTAATGGCCGAATAAATATATTTAAAAAAACGAACCATTACCATTTATTACACCACCTCCACAGTGATTAATACATTTTTCCTCCTGGAATTCATTCAGAGAAAGAAAAAAAAGCTCTTTAAAATTATTTCTTTTTTATTTTATATATATCGAAATTTAGACCCCATAACCTACCCTCTATCCTCGATTTCGCCCCCTCGTACCCTTCTCAGCGATTCTACTTCTCATTCAACTCGCTCTTCCCTTTCACCCTCTCACAGATCTAATCATAATTATCAAAGTTACCCTAGGTCAGGTTCATTTACCCCCACGGGCGACGAAAATATGTCCAAAGTGAACTCGACATTTGTCCAACTTAACAACGTGACGGCCGACACCAAAAAGGCCTTTTCCGTTTACCTGAGCCGAATTTTATCGACGTTGGGCCTTAATCTGCGACTTAAATTCGAGGCTTACAACGAGGAGGCTTTGGGTAGCGTATTCCTCATAAATAACTTCTCTTACGTGCTCAAATTCTTACGGAAGTAAAAAAAATCAATTTTACTTCTTCCTTTTTTTTTCATTTTCTTTCATTTATATTTCATTTTTCCCCTTAAAAACGAAAGGAGCGTGAAGAGAATAGGAAGGAGATTAGAGAAAAAGCCGGGTATGGGTCGGGACTGCTTTTGGCAGATCTTTAATTTAGGCACAAATATTTTTAATATTATTACCAACGCGTTTATTTATATATTAAGGAATGCTCACTTGCTGCAAGTGGTCAAGATATCGACTCCTAGAGTGGAAGAATATTACGAACAGCAGATTCAGGAATTCAAGAGGATTTATTCGCAATGGTAATCCCCCCCCCCCACCCCCTGAAAAACGAAAATGTTATTGTTGAAATCCGAATGCTATTTATTTTTTGGTTAGATGACGACCTTGCGTACTTATTTTATTCTACGTTGAGTTTAAAAGGGTCAAAAAATATTCTAATGTTAGAAATTAGGGAAAGCCAAAACTGGAGTATTTTTTTTCACGCAATACGATTTCCTAATAATTATTACTTTTTTTTAACCAAATATATATGACCAAAACTAGCAAGATTTTGTGTTTTATTTAAATAGTATTATTATAAGAGTGTAAAATTCCAGTGAGCTTTTAAATTATTATAAAATTTAATTTACATAAATTAATTAAATTACGTAAGAAGAACGCTAGAGAAAACTCACAAAAAAAAATTACCTTTTTTTAGAATGCTTATAACAAAATAATATATATAATAGTGCACGCACACAAATTGAGCGTTTATATGTTGCCTTAAATTTTATAAAAAAGAACGTAACGCGTTCCTTGCTTAAAATGAGGTTGTCTTTGAAAAATTATATTATCGTCTGCCTTCTTATTTCTTTAATTTTTAAATATTCCTTTTTTTTTTAGGATTATAAGTAAGTTATTTATAATTACATTTTTATAATAATATTACAAAACGAAGTATTAAAAACAGTATTGAGAAAGCAAAACCTATTTGCCTTTTTTTTTAAATGGCTGCTAATGCCAAACTGTAAATTTATTAAATTTGCACCAGGCCTCTACCCGTGCGAGAATTCTCACCAAGTCTCAGGTGTTGATATATAAATCGTAGTTATTTTAAAACTGGGGAAAAAAATTTACATTTACTAAATGCTAATCATTTACCACCCCTCACCCTCCCCTTTACAGCATATGTTTTGAGTGTCTATTTCGGGCTTACTTTTAAATGTTATTATTTTATGTTAACTATCCCTTTTTATTCCGGTCCAGCAACTTTTCCCTTTAAAAAAAATGTATCTTTCCCTCTTTTGGTACAGGAGATGTCGTTCCCTTTCGAGCATAAATTTCTAGGAAAATTTATTAGATCCCCCCCCCCCCCCTTTAATTTTGCGCGAATATAGACTTGGATTTCTCTCGTAAATTTTATATATGTTTTTTTTAATATAAAATGGCCCCTTTTTTTAAAAAAAAGAATATAAAGTTGGCCCGAGTTGTTTTATAAAATAATGGCTATTATAATATAACGTTGTTAAACAGCTGAGCCGATTTTTTAAAAAATGGCTATCTCAATATTTTAGCCCAAAAAAAAATATTGTCTAAGACTCGAGATTTCGTTGATAGATGTTCGAATCTTTGTGCCACCTATGAGCAAAAATATCAAGGCTTTCATAATATTTTTCTGTTGGGTAAAATATTGAGTTAGCCGTTTTTAGAAATCGTCTCAAAGTTAGTCGTTTTTAGAAATCGGCTCAAAGTTAACCGTTTTTAGAAATCGGCTCAAAGTGAGCCGATTAGCAAAAACTAATTTATATATATGTTTGTACGTTACTAATCTGAATATTTAGAAGGTAGGTTTATAGCTTATCTCTTTTTGTTTTATCCCTTATTTTATTTGTCGTGGTCGCATATGTTTTATCAAATATTTCTCTAAAATTAAAATTGATAATAGTACAATATTTACTGAAACCCGTTGTTTTAATAAGCACATTTATATATTATGTTTCCATAATTATAAAAACAAAAATAATTTCACATGGTAAAATATTAACCAACAAAAGTACAGAAATAGAATATAATATTTTTTTTTTAACAATTTAAAAAATAAGCAAAATTATATTACATAAAACGGTATTACTACTTCCCCTCGAATACGAGTTATAAGACAAACGTCCATAAAGGTCCATACAAACTGACAGTTATAAATTCGTGATAATTTTAAAATTACGCGTAGAATAGAATATTACACCTCATACTCTAATTAAAGAAAATTTGGAGTATTCTTATAAAATAAATATATAAAAAAATTTTTTTTTAGCTGGGGTAAGGCTTTGTATTACATGAATGAAAAATCCGGTCCTCACATAAACATTCCCAAAGCTATGACATCTGTCACCTCGCCCGATGTCTATTCTAGCAAAGGAAGCATAACCGCTAACACGGCTTCCTTCAAAGTTTATTATATTTTTTTTGGTTTAAAAAAAACATATGCATTTTACAACGACTTGATTGACACTTTATTTTTTTTATATTCCAAAATAACACACAAACGAAAGTTGAAAGACAAGGATAAACAAGCTATCAAGGACAAATTTACGGTAATTTCTTCTTTTTTTTCGACTGTTATTAATATTAACGCTAAAAGAATGAAATAAGGAAAGAAAGAAAGAAGAAAAGCCAAGCAAACAAATTTAGATAAATGTTTAAAAAAAACTGCATGTTATTTGCTTTTATATCCAGGGTTTCAACAAGGAATTCGAAGAATTAGCCAATAAGCACAAAAAATATTTCGTGGCCGACCCGAAGATGAGAGAAACGTTGAGGTTAGAGACCAAGGCTTTCATCCTCCCGTTATACAAAGAATTTAGAAACAAGTAAGATTTCGAATATTTTTCCTATTTTAAATATATATCTATCGTAAATTTCATTTGAAAAAATCGCCTAATTTTCAATGGTTATTTATATCTTGGAAGCTACTATCTTAATATCTAATGAAATTTCTTATATTATCAATTATTAGTCGCTTCCATTTTATCATTATTTTTAACATTTTTAGGAGAAAAAAATATGCTTATGTTTCGTGATCGCTAATATTTTTTGAAACGCTAAAAACTTATTAAATTTGATAAGAAATTCATTTTTTTGCCTCTTCTTTTCTCCTGTAAAAAAAAATAACTTTCTTTTCTTTCTTTCTTTATTTCTTTTCTGATAGTTGTTTCTGCAGTGAGACAAGTTAAATTGAGTGAAGGCAGAAGAAGAAAGGAGGAAAAAAAATATATATTAATTGTAAAATTTATTTTTTTTAATCTCGTTTTACATTTTAGATTTATGAATGTTCCCTTTTCGAAAAATCCCGAAAAATATATTAAATACGAGAATGAACGAATTTCCGAAGAAATTGACCAATTTTTTACTGGAACTGATTAAAACGGAGATTAATTTTTATAAGCATATTTGTTATTAAACGATTTCGATTGAAAATTGTGTTTTCGTTATCTACATTTATGATATAAAGTAAAAAATATATTGAAGAAAATAAATTATTATAAGGTAATCAAGGGGCTATAAAATTCCTTAAAGTGTAATGATCTGAGGGGGGGGGGGCTACATGGCCCGAAAACTACCAAGAAATTCTTTCTTAAAAGCTTTCCAATCAACCGATTTTTTTTCCCCACAGGAAAGTAAGTATTAATGGAATTGTTATAAAAGACCAAGCATTTTGATTATTATTTACTTAATTTTTTTTTTTAAAAAGATTTTTTTTTTGTTGTTAGTTTTAATTTAAAACATGTGAAGATATTTTATTATTTTAACTCCTTTCAGATTGTTTGCTTTGATCCTCCTCCCCACTCACCACCATAACCTTTGATCCTAAAATTAAGAATGATGATTAATGACACTTAAAAATTCTTTTAACTAGTTTAAATTAAGTTTTTACCCCCCCCCCCAACATGACCTAGTCCGACATCTAAAGTGATTATTAATTTTATTAGCACTCAAAAAATCTTTTAATCAGCCAAAGATGCTTTTTTGACGGAGAATTTTGACCTAGTGGACTTGAGTAGAATCGCGAATAATAACGAGATACTTGAGGAAATATTACTTGCAGGGACGTCACTAGGCTTTGCAATATCCGGACTCAACTAAAAAAAATTTACGGGGGGGGGGGGTCCTATTTTTTGCGGGTCTTTTTTGAAATTTATTAAACTCTGAACAATTTTTCTGAAATTTAATTTTTTATCATTTAATTATGCATTATATGAATTAGTAAAACCTTAAGCTTAAAAAATTAGATTTAAGAAAAATAATGAATTAATTTCTTCCTTTAAAAAAAAGCAAGTTATTTTTTATTATTTGTTTTTTCATTATCGGGATACTTTATTATACCTTATTATTTATATAATATTAATAACTATCTGAATCTATAGAACACTAATAACTATAATTATATAGTAACAAACGTATGTGCATGTACAATAGCGATGACTTGCATCATTCACAACTCCACCTACTCATATTCAACAAGAGGTAAAAAAAAATAACAAATTAAATAAATGGATCTTTCAAATTTTACATAGAAAGAAAGAAACACTTTATATTCTCCTTCAGCCCTTTCTTGATTAATAATTTTAATGAGAAACCCTCTAAAACTCACATACACTATACATAATTAATTATTCTGATTCCATCTACAATAAAACCCTTATATACCAACATACCAGCAAATAACTCTACTCCAATGTTTTTGTCTTAGACTAGTGAAGATCAACCGTCCGGTCCTATCGATCTTAGACCGGAACTGGACCGGACCTATTGTCGGATCGATCTTTTTTGAGGACCGTGGTCCGGGCCGGTCTTTTATTATTATTTAAGTTTGCTATACTATTCAATTAATATAATTTTTTTTTGTATATTTTATTTTATGATATTTTTCTAGATAAGTTTTTTAGATTTTATTAATTTTTATTTTACAATATAAAAACCATAAGTTTGTCCAAGAAACATTTTACTTATAGTCACAATAAAAAACATATAGTGTGTGTTCACTGCAGTACCAAATTTAATGTATCGTCAGCAACAAGTAACAAAATAATTGTTCATTATTTTTTAAGCAATAAATTAATCAAAATAAGCAGTATTATTATTAAAATGTTATTATTTATATAGTTCTATTTTTTCTTGAGAAACTGTCTGAATAATTCATTGTCAAAATAACTTAACCTTATTCTTAATAAAATAATTAGGTACCTTAAGCAGACATCTGATAAAACATAAAATATATACTTTTAATGATGAAAATGAAAATATCTATTCTATGCCCTCCACAAAAATCACTTTCTTCAATACCATTGGGTAAAATTTATTGTTTATATAATACTCTTATATTTAATAAAATGATAAAACAAATTAAATTAGGTTAAAAAAATATGTTTTAACAAATAAAAAGTAGTCCTGGACCGGTCTTTTTATTTAGGACCACGGTTTGGGTTGATCGTTTTCTTAAGGACCGTGGTCCGGTCTTGTCCGTGGGTATCGGTCCGGACCAAAGATCGTGACCTTCACTATCTTAGACTCAAAGTAGCAAACTTCTCTGGTATTTAACCATCTTCTCATCATTAGCATGAAAGGAATCTGCCCAATCTGTCATAAACTTATTAATTTAAAAAAAGATGACCATCTATACAAACATGGCCCCCAAGCCCTCCCTTGCTCAGGTTCTAATACACTTTGCACAAAACTAATAGAATCCCCAATTAATACCAAACACATACATGTAAATAACAAATCACTAGAAGAATTTATCTTTATTAAAAAAATACCAACAATAAGACACATCCCTTTTGTGCTAATTACCAGATCACTGACCATCTTACTAAATTATTTGATAATTTTATAGTCAAAACAATCGGTATCTTTATGTTATTCTGTTGTATATATAGTGTTTTATAATTATGTAAATTAACTTCTAATAATATGCAACTATATTGACCAAAATGTAGGAAAGTTATAATAATATAATATTTAAATAACGTAACCTTTAAAATATATAAGATATTAAAATATAACATCTTCTTTCCCACTAAGTTAAGATCATCTATCAATCTTTTTATTTACCAAGTTCGAGTTCATTTATTAATCTTTTTGTTTGCTTTCGTTTCATCGTTGGATTTCGGGGTTGAATTTCTTCTTGACTAAGTTCCATTGTTTCTACTGTTTTATCATCTCCTAACTTTATAATGTCATTATTTTTATTGATTCGGTTTCAACTCTTGGTAGTAGTTAATCGGCGTGTTTACGTACGATTTCACCTTTTTCTTCTACATTATAAGAGAATTTAGCTTGTTGGCTTACTATCCTTTCCTTCATGCCATCCCTTTTCAATTGGGTGTTTTATCCAAACTAAATCCTTTTCTCCAAAATATCTATGTACGCCTTTTTCTAACTGGTCAGATTTTATACAGAAGTTATTAATTTTTCAATAATTGAAGATTTGACCCAGTCTAATAATATATTTAATCTTCTCCCCATAAATAGCTTTGCTGCTATTCGCCCCGTTGAGGAGTGTTCGGAATTTCTATACGTAAATAATACTTCAATTAGGCATTTTTCCCCATCATTCGTTTGTTCTCTATTTGCGAAATACCGATTTTTGATAGTCTGTATGCATCTTTCTACTAACACATTACTTCTCGGATGGTACGGTGTAGTTTTTATATGTTGTATATTCTTGTTTTTACACCATTTATAAAATTCATTTGAAATAAATTGTGGACAATTGTCCATGACAAATTGATGTGGAATACCATATTGAGTACCCAATTTTTCTAATCTATTTATTAAATTCTTACTTGTGGTATCTTTAATTCTCTATCTCGATCCATTTTGAATACGCATCGATTCCCACCAGCCATTAAAATCCCCCTAGTGGTCCAGCAAAATCTAAATGTACCCTTTCCCAAGGTTGTGCTGGCGAATTCTCAGGGTATACGGCAACTCCTGGTATATCTCTGCGATGTTTTTGACACCCAATATAGCGGTTAACTAATTTTTCGACATCTTTATCTAATTGTGCCCACCATATATAATGTTTTGTAATGGATTTCCTTGATGTAATACCCGAATGTCTCGTATGCAATATGTGTAACACTCTTTCTGTAGTGAGTATGGAATGATAAATCTATCATTCCAATATAAAATACAGGAATCATTTTCTATTTCATCTATTCTTGTTCTATAAGCTTGTAATTCTGGTGTTTGATTTTGTATATATGTACCATTTATTAATATTTTACTCTTCTTAAAATTGGATCTTTCGCGGTTTCATCTCTAAGTTCTTCTCTTGATAGAGTTAATGTGTCATAAGTAAGATTTCATATATATTTCCCTATTTTATTTTCACTCGTTATTTTATTATCATTTTTCTCTATTGGGTTTCGTGATAAAGCTTCTGCAATTATATTATTAGCGCCATTCTTGTACAATATATCATAATCATATGCAGATAATTTATAAGCCCAACGTAATAATCTTTGATTTTGTTAATGAGCCTAATATCTGTTATCACCATATATTTTTATTAAAAGTTTGTGGTCCGTTCGTATTTTAAATTTTCGTCCATACAAATAATTATAAAATTTTTCTACGCCGTTTATTATCGCTTTGGTCTCCTAGTCGATTGTTGAATAATTCTTTTCAACATCTTGTAAAGTTCTCGAGGTGTAAGCTATTGGGAATTCGTTACCATTATCATATTTTTGCATAAGTACAGCTCCAAATCCCTGGTTAGATGCATCTGTTTCTAATATTAACTCAAGGTCCGGTTTATAAAATTGTATAGTATTTTGTTCAGTTACTATTCCTTTTGCTTTTTTCAAATAATGCATCATCTTTTTTAGTCCAATTCCATTTAACATTTTTACTAGTTTTATTATGTAATTCGGCTATGATTCCATGTAAGTTTGGTATGAATCATGTATAATAGTTTAATATACCTAAAAATGATTTTATGTCATGTCTATCTTTTGGAGTTGGGTATTTTTGTATTGCAATTATTTTATTTTTATCTGGGTGTATTCCATTTTGATCAATTATGTATCCTAAATATGATACTTTTACTTTCATAAAATTTATTTTCTTGTTTTGACTTTTAATCCTATTTTGTAATTTTTTGAGGACTTGTTTTATATTCTCTATATGTTCATTATCATATTTTCCCGTAATTACAACATCATCTAAATAAACTGCTGTATCTTTACAATCAGCCAGTAAATCGTCTATATCGTTGAAATATTATTGGTGCTGTAGCTATACCAAATACTAATCTTAAATAGCGGTAGTATCCATTTGGTGTTACCATTGTTAATAATTCTTGCGATTCTTCGTCAATGCTCATTTGTAGATATGCGTCTTTGAGATCTAATGTTGTATATTTATTTCCATTAGCGATCTTTGCGATTAATTCTTC